AAAAAAAACTTTTCGTTTATGTTCGACATAAACATCCGTTCAATTCGAAACTAATCCCACATTCCAACGCTAAAGTTTATAGTTAACATGGGCCCGGGAACAACTCTGACCCATCTGCATACCTTTTACCTCACAACAATTGGTCACATGACCATTCTCCCACGCCGAACTTATAAAAACCCCTTCCTTCCCCTTCTCGGGGGAGTCGTTCATCCGCCGTCACTTTTACAACTGTGTCCTAAGAATATTGTGTCCTATTAATATACTGTGTCCTATCCGATATTGTGTCCTGAAGAAAAATTATCATCCTAATCCTACCACATTGTTGGATATCAAAACCTTTTTCCTTAAGAATATTAAAAGACATAAAGAGGTATGGAACTTATTTTTGTGAACTCTCTCTCGGTCCTTCGCGTTTCAGGGATTCAGATTTTTCCCTTTGAAATTAGCTATTGTAATTAATTAGTTATTGTATCTATGTAGCTAATAAATCGTTGTTATCTTGTTAAATTGGTGTCCTCGTTTGCTCGTGTATCGCCTGTCATCTTACCGACACACTCCTCCCTCCGCCACTCGACCCGAAACACTTAAGCCCGTTATAGCGGGAAAAGCAAAATTTTAACCCATCCTGACAGTGAGAAGGTTCATCAACCTGTTGCCGGATCGGGAGACCTACACCCTCCCTGGCGGTTCACATAAAGATAAGTCCTGCTACTCAGAATGCTCTTTTTGATTCAATTGATGTGGGTGGAATTGTCTTTAATGCATTTAATAAAAGACAGATGTTATGTATTTTTTCACCTGTAGCCTGGAAGATTTCTAGTTTGTTTTCGAGATGCATTGCAGTATTTCTTTTGCCATCTAGTATTCTTGATTTGTCTACCCCAGCTGCTTTAATAGCGACATTGAGCTTATAACCCGATAATTCAGCAGTTCGTTTGCTTTAGTAATCAGGTTTATGATGAAAAACTTCATACTTGCATACTTCGTACTCGTTTGTATCACTGCACAATTTGCATAATCTGGCATAATGCAGTTATTGAAATTACTGGGCATGGTTAAAAATTAAGACAGCATAAGCACAATTATTCTAGATATTACAGGTTCTGACAAGTAAAGAATTTTCAGAGTCCTGTCACAAATAGGCTAAATATTAATTATTGACAATCTGTGACATCCCATAATAAACGAAAATTTAAAAAAATTAATATGCAAACTTAAAATTAATAAATAAAAATGTATTCTGACAGTTTATGGGTTAATAATTATACTTTCTATTTGCAAAATTTCCTCATCTTTAATACAAAATAAGAAAGAAGTGAATTTTTAAAACATTTGTGGGATTTCCTTTGGATCCCAGGATCCCATTGGAGAAACCCTACTAGTGGTCCTGATTGAAAGTCTCCATAGATACAAAGCCAAAAAATGGACATTTTCTGAGTTATCAAGCATTCAAGATGCAAAAACAGCATAATTCATGCATATGTTTTGAATGAGGGAGAAGCTGCTGCAAGAGTGTTGGGGCATTATGCTTCTCCCAATGTCAGCAAATTCTGCTGACTAATTGGCAAAGTGATGGAACAAAAATAAATATATTAATAATAGTTTTCAGAATTACAAGAAATACAGCAGTATAAAGAAAAGGGTATGCGGGATGGAAACAATGGGAGAGGCGAGCCAATCTCTTTGACTGGCACTTTGTACAAATTATCTGTGTCAGCCATAGATATCAGTTGACAAAATCAGCTTCCATGCCCCTTCAATGATAATTGTCTAAATATGGTTGTGAAGCCTTAAATGTTTTTTGTTTAAAAATAAATATGATATGTTTTCAAACATTATTAATTTTTAGCACATTATTTGGAAATCATTCATTATGTGATACCCATGGGTTTGATTCTCACACCATTTCAGTTCATACTGCACTAGTAGATATGACGTGCTTCATTAAGTGATACATGGGCACCCTTCTCTCAAGACACTTGCTCCTCAGACTTCATAACAGTTGAAAAGTTAACAGTTAAAATATAAAATGGTATGTTGAAACATACCATTTTATATTTTAGAACAAAAGAGATTTAAGGCTTACAACGATATTTAGACATTTATCATTGAAGAGCATGCACAAACTACACTAGGTTTGCATTTTGGATGCTTGATAACTCAAAAACTGTCTTTTTATTGTGCCTATAGAGACTTTCAATCGGAATCACTAGAACTACAAAATATCAAAGATACAGCCAAATTCACAGAATCCATTTCCCATATGATTTGTGCAGACTCCTTTAAGTGGAATGGAGTGAATAAAGAAGACTACAGTCAGTGAAATTCTGATTTTATTACCTCTGACATAAAAAATCACATTAAAATAATAAACATATATAACCTGACATTTTTTACTCTTACTCTTTTGCAAGCAAAAAACAACTAAAACAATTAATAGCTAAGAATTATATCAATAACTGGTAATGACTGTGTTTTATCAGCTACACATTGAGGTTGATAGCATTGAAAATACATTTTTAAGCTGTCTTTATCTGAAGATAATAACTATAATAAAACTTTGATTACAATAAGATGAGTTTTATTAGTGTATTTTAACTTGTATGTTTCAGGATTTTCTAATTTCGATTAAAACAAATGAAATAACAATTGTATTAGTAAACATTAAGCAACTGATGATAACATCCATGATTACAATAAGTGCATTCTACCATATTTAAATTATAAATTAATAAGTTTAATGTTAAATATAATGCTTATTCCAATTAAAATAATTATCAAAATTAAAATTTTACTAGGATTTAATACAAGTAATATAATTTTAAAAATTTTGGAATTTTTTAATATTCCAAGTGATAATATAAACAGTAAATATTCAATTTAGTAATATTTATCAAACATTTAATATAAAAATATGAATATCGAAAAATGAATATGAATATTCATTCATTGATATTTCAGAATGCAAACTTGTTTTTTTAATATAAAATTTTACAGACGACTTTTTATATTTTATAAACAGATATTTTGACTATAAATTACACATCAGGTGGCCATAAAATTCAGAAACATAAATAATTTATTAATATTACATTTCAATAATATTTTCAATGTGTTGTTCATTACTCATTAGCAATGTATAGTTTAATGTATTGTGCAAAACTGCAAATGTGGAATAATGACGATGAATAAAATGTTATCTTCTATGTTTCCAGGCTTTATGATCACTCTGTAGTGTAACAGATAAAATTTATTTTTATTATAAAGTACAGTATCCTCTCATTACACCACTTGTTTGGATATATTGCACTTTCTTTTCTCCAAATATAAAAGTGTCTTGGCCAATAATTGCCATTGAATTTCTACTGGCAAAGAAATATGACCTTATTACAATCATTAATCTTGAAACTACCATTGTATGAAAAAAAGATTGAGTACAGAGATTAAAAGTAGACAAAACAGTTTGATACATCACTTATATTGCAGTATTTGATACATTGATCATTTGATTTGTCTCCCAACATATATGATATAAAAGAGGCTACTGTATTTTAAAATAATCTTAAAAACTATTAATTTCATCATCATTAAATAAAGTAAAATGAATAAAATTATTATTGAAGCAATAGTAAAAACATAATTTTTCTTAAAATATTCAATTTTTTATAAAATTTGTAATTATATAAGAAAGTTGCAGCATTTATATGTTTGAACTGAATAAACACTTATTCTGATTATGCTAATTTTATATTCTTTTTTTCAGATTCTATTGGTGATATTCAAAGAAAAGTATATTTTAGTATAAAAGAGTCTATTGTTAAATATTTCTAGTCAAATTCAGCTAAAATACAAATTCTTCTTAAGAAGAAAATCTTTTAAAGTTGTTATTATTATAATTATTATATCATTACTATAATTGTTATTATTATTATTATGTTTGGTTTAGTGAGTTATACTTGGTTGACACCGGTGGCTGTGTACTATGCTGGACCAAAGTCACAGCATAGTAACCAAAACAAGACAAAAATTAAATAAGTGTTTCAGTGTGTGTCTATATTCAGGAATTTCCTAACAATATGACATGTATTCAATATAGTGGCGTTCTGTATGTGTTTCTATTCAATTGTAATGTTCCCAGGCTTTTGTTTAATATGTGTGGTATGACACCTGTAGAGAAAAGAACAACAGATACAATAAGCACCTTATCCATCCTCCACAGATGCCTTATATTTCCTGGGATTATTATTATTAATATTATATCAAATATGCATTAATTCACTGATATATTAAGAAAATAAGGTTCATCTTTTGATTAGAATAAGTCATTTATGGAATAAGCATAGTATGGATAGCAAATAATAATATTTGATAAAGTTACTTTTTCAATTTAAAATTAATTTTATCACCATTGTGAGAATTGAATCAACACTAATTAATATTTGTAACACAAAATAAAGTCTAAACTAAATTTCAATTTTGTTAAAAATCAGTTAACAAATAGACTTACCTGAACATAAACTTTTATTGTATGTAAATTTTCTGCATATATTTCTGAAATCCATGGAAGAGTATACAAGCCTTTAGAAACATGAGTCATATTTTGCCATGGTTCATCATCTATTTGAAGCTTAACAAGCTTAATGCCACTTGGTGAAAATGTCAAGACCCTATAATAAAGGTTTATTTTCAGTTTTTACTTTCAAATAACTATAATCAAAAAATAACATTACACAGTAGATTTTTATATGCAGATAACTATTACAGTAGAATGACATTCACAAGAAACATTATACAGGATGTCTATAAATTATACTATTTTATATCATTATGGAGATAAAACTATTAAAGACAGATTAATAAAATTTTATAGGTACATTCATCCTGGCATGAGAAAACTATGGGCAAAATTTCAAAACTAGTTATAATTTTTGCCACTAAGATTTATAATGATGCATCAAAGGCAACATCAAAAACAGTTTAACATGCTTTCTGTCATTCTCTCAAGAAAGAGACAATGTGGAAATTCAGAAAAATCTGAAACATTGTCTGCAAGTACAGTAGTATAACGCACAACTATTTTTTGTTCATGCCATATTATTTGAAAACGAAAAAGTAACCCCTTGAAAAAATATTGATTTTTTGTTTTTGTGGAATAACTGACAATTGGTAAGAGATTCAGGAAAAAAGTTTAAACAAAGCTGCATCTCTCTTTTATGCCTATAAAGCTGTGTATAAATACTCTTAAGTATCAAAAAATTAATGTTTTTCAAGTTATTCCCACTACCAACCTTTAAAATAGAGATACCCAACAAAACACAAAAATTCAGCACAAAACATTGAAATTTAATTTAAAACAAATGTTTCTAGTAGTATTAAACAACCATTGTCAGGTTAAATAGAACTTTGAAAGTTTGGCTTTCAACTTTCAAATGTTCTATTTAACCTGACAACAGTTTTTTAATACTACTGAAAACATTTGTTTTAAATTAAGTTTCCACATTTTGTGTTGAATTTTTATGTTTTGTTGGGTATATTTGCTATCCAATATCTTGAAATTGTAAAGTTGACTTAGAATAGAGTTTCATGCAATATGTCATTTTATCATGCAGTTCACAAATTAGTCCAATAACACACATTAAGTAATGTATGTATGTTGGTGTATAAAAAGAGGTTATAGACTAATCTAAACTAGAGGAATGCTCTCTGCTCTAGTTTGGGGATGACAAAAGTTTGCAACATGGCTTTAGAAATCATGTTCAATAGCTTCTTGATGCTGCTGCTGTGATAGTAGACTGATAATGATGAAAATTGTAACTGTTTTTGAAATTCTGTCTGTAGTTTTCCCATGTCAAGATAAACATGCCTATAAAATTTTATCACTATCTTTTAGTTTTGCTTCCAGAGTGGTCTAAAGTGGTAAACTTTAATTAGAGATGCCCTATATGCATTTATGGTAAATATTTCATATATTCATATTATGATCCTAATACTAAAGATCATGACTTTAATACTAATACTCAAAAGCTATTAAATGCATCAAAATTAAATTTATAGGGTAATGTATTTCAATATGTGTAACATTTGAATTTCTTTTGCTCCAATTTATTTAATTTTCCAATGAAAGTTAAACAACCATCTACTTGAGTTAACATTAAATATTTTTAAAAAGAATTTTATTAGGTCACTCTATTTCTTTTCTTGAATCCTTTAATTCTATAAAGAATTAAAATATGTAAAATGAAATTACCTAAATGTTGTTTTATTTCATTCAAAATCAATAAAGAATAAATTAAATTAAAAAATGAATAAATTTTCAAATTTATAAATGTGCAAAAACCAATTTTAATATTGTTCATATTTTAAAAGTAATACATAGATATTATTATTATTTTCTCTCTGCTGGATTTGATTCAGATTCCTACTGATTAAAATTAATTATTTAAACACAATATGTAGTGAAATACATTATGAAAATATCAATGACAATAATGAAAATTTTGATGTAGAACAAGGCTTCTTAAAATATGGGTAGGTAACAAAATTTAGGAGTTTCAAAATCTTTGGCAACTGTTTGCAAATAATGTCATAAACTTTAACCTCAAATGTTCCTCTGTCAGATTCTTCAATACTGATTAGTAAAAATAATTACAAAAGCCATTTTGATTTAAAGTATTTAATTAAAATTAAAAATCACATTATGGATACATAACAGAGAAATGAAACATTCATACAGTAGAACCTCGNAGTTTATGGGTTAATAATTATACTTTCTATTTGCAAAATTTCCTCATCTTTAATACAAAATAAGAAAGAAGTGAATTTTTAAAACATTTGCGGGATTTCCTTTGGATCCCAGGATCCCATTGGAGAAACCCTACTAGTGGTCCTGATTGAAAGTCTCCATAGATACAAAGCCAAAAAATGGACATTTTCTGAGTTATCAAGCATTCAAGATGCAAAAACAGCATAATTCATGCATATGTTTTGAATGAGGGAGAAGCTGCTGCAAGAGTGTTGGGGCATTATGCTTCTCCCAATGTCAGCAAATTCTGCTGAATATTTGGCAAAGTGATGGAACAAAAATAAATATATTAATAATAGTTTTCAGAATTACAAGAAATACAGCAGTATAAAGAAAAGGGTATGCGGGATGGAAACAATGGGAGAGGCGAGCCAATCTCTTTGACTGGCACTTTGTACAAATTATCTGTGTCAGCCATAGATATCAGTTGACAAAATCAGCTTCCATGCCCCTTCAATGATAATTGTCTAAATATGGTTGTGAAGCCTTAAATGTTTTTTGTTTAAAAATAAATATGATATGTTTTCAAACATTATTAATTTTTAGCACATTATTTGGAAATCATTCATTATGTGATACCCATGGGTTTGATTCTCACACCATTTCGGTTCATACTGCACTAGTAGATACGACGTGCTTCATTAAGTGATACATGGGCACCCTTCTCTCAAGACACTTGCTCCTCAGACTTCATAACAGTTGAAAAGTTAACAGTTAAAATATAAAATGGTATGTTGAAACATATTTTATATTTTAGAACAAAAGAGATTTAAGGCTTACAACGATATTTAGACATTTATCATTGAAGAGCATGCACAAACTACACTAGGTTTACATTTTGGATGCTTGATAACTCAAAAACTGTCTTTTTATTGTGCCTATAGAGACTTTCAATCGGAATCACTAGAACTACAAAATATCAAAGATACAGCCAAATTCACAGAATCCATTTCCCATATGATTTGTGCAGACTCCTTTAATTGGAGTGGAGTGAATAAAGAAGACTACAGTCAGTGAAATTCTGATTTTATTACCTCTGACATAAAAAATCACATTAAAATAATAAACATATATAACCTGACATTTTTTACTCTTACTCTTTTGCAAGCAAAAAACAACTAAAACAATTAATAGCTAAGAATTATGTCAATAACTGGTAATGACTGTGTTTTATCAGCTACACATTGAGGTTGATAGCATTGAAAATACATTTTTAAGCTGTCTTTATCTGAAGATAATAACTATAATAAAACTTTGATTACAATAAGATGAGTTTTATTACTGTATTTTAACTTGTATGTTTCAGGACTTTCTAATTTTGATTAAAACAAATGAAATAACAATTGTATTAGTAAACATTAAGCAACTGATGATAACATCCATGATTACAATAAGTGCATTCTACCATATTTAAATTATAAATTAATAAGTTTAATGTTAAATATAATGCTTATTCCAATTAAAATAATTATCAAAATTAAAATTTTACTAGGATTTAATACAAGTAATATAATTTTAAAAATTTTGGAATTTTTTAATATTCCAAGTGATAATATAAACAGTAAATATTCAATTTAGTAATATTTATCAAACATTTAATATAAAAATATGAATATCGAAAAATGAATATGAATATTCATTCATTGATATTTCAGAATGCAAACTTGTTTTTTTAATATAAAATTTTACAGACGACTTTTTATATTTTATAAACAGATATTTTGACTATAAATTACACATCAGGTGGCCATAAAATTCAGAAACATAAATAATTTATTAATATTACATTTCAATAATATTTTCAATGTGTTGTTCATTACTCATTAGCAATGTATAGTTTAATGTATTGTGCAAAACTGCAAATGTGGAATAATGACGATGAATAAAATGTTATCTTCTATGTTTCCAGGCTTTATGATCACTCTGTAGTGTAACAGATAAAATTTATTTTTATTATAAAGTACAGTATCCTCTCATTACACCACTTGTTTGGATATATTGCACTTTCTTTTCTCCAAATATAAAAGTGTCTTGGCCAATAATTGCCATTGAATTTCTACTGGCAAAGAAATATGACCTTATTACAATCATTAATCTTGAAACTACCATTGTATGAAAAAAAGATTGAGTACAGAGATTAAAAGTAGACAAAACAGTTTGATACATCACTTATATTGCAGTATTTGATACATTGATCATTTGATTTGTCTCCCAACATATATGATATAAAAGAGGCTACTGTATTTTAAAATAATCTTAAAAACTATTAATTTCATCATCATTAAATAAAGTAAAATGAATAAAATTATTATTGAAGCAATAGTAAAAACATAATTTTTCTTAAAATATTCAATTTTTTATAAAATTTGTAATTATATAAGAAAGTTGCAGCATTTATATGTTTGAACTGAATAAACACTTATTCTGATTATGCTAATTTTATATTCTTTTTTTCAGATTCTATTGGTGATATTCAAAGAAAAGTATATTTTAGTATAAAAGAGTCTATTGTTAAATATTTCTAGTCAAATTCAGCTAAAATACAAATTCTTCTTAAGAAGAAAATCTTTTAAAGTTGTTATTATTATAATTATTATATCATTACTATAATTGTTATTATTATTATTATGTTTGGTTTAGTGAGTTATACTTGGTTGACACCGGTGGCTGTGTACTATGCTGGACCAAAGTCACAGCATAGTAACCAAAACAAGACAAAAATTAAATAAGTGTTTCAGTGTGTGTCTATATTCAGGAATTTCCTAACAATATGACATGTATTCAATATAGTGGCGTTCTGTATGTGTTTCTATTCAATTGTAATGTTCCCAGGCTTTTGTTTAATATGTGTGGTATGACACCTGTAGAGAAAAGAACAACAGATACAATAAGCACCTTATCCATCCTCCACAGATGCCTTATATTTCCTGGGATTATTATTATTAATATTATATCAAATATGCATTAATTCACTGATATATTAAGAAAATAAGGTTCATCTTTTGATTAGAATAAGTCATTTATGGAATAAGCATAGTATGGATAGCAAATAATAATATTTAATAAAGTTACTTTTTCAATTTAAAATTAATTTTATCAACATTGTGAGAATTGAATCAACACTAATTAATATTTGTAACACAAAATAAAGTCTAAACTAAATTTCAATTTTGTTAAAAATCAGTTAACAAATAGACTTACCTGAACATAAACTTTTATTGTATGTAAATTTTCTGCATATATTTCTGAAATCCATGGAAGAGTATACAAGCCTTTAGAAACATGAGTCATATTTTGCCATGGTTCATCATCTATTTGAAGCTTAACAAGCTTAATGCCACTTGGTGAAAATGTCAAGACCCTATAATAAAGGTTTATTTTCAGTTTTTACTTTCAAATAACTATAATCAGAAAATAACATTACACAGTAGATTTTTATATGCAGACAACTATTAGAATGACATTCACAAGAAACATTATACAGGATGTCTATAAATTATACTATTTTATATCATTATGGAGATAAAACTATTAAAGACAGATTAATAAAATTTTATAGGTACATTCATCCTGGCATGAGAAAACTATGGGCAAAATTTCAAAACTAGTTATAATTTTTGCCACTAAGATTTATAATGATGCATCAAAGGCAACATCAAAAACAGTTTAACATGCTTTCTGTCATTCTCTCAAGAAAGAGACAATGTGGAAATTCAGAAAAATCTGAAACATTGTCTGCAAGTACAGTAGTATAACGCACAACTATTTTTTGTTCATGCCATATTATTTGAAAACGAAAAAGTAACCCCTTGAAAAAATATTGATTTTTTGTTTTTGTGGAATAACTGACAATTGGTAAGAGATTCAGGAAAAAAGTTTAAACAAAGCTGCATCTCTCTTTTATGCCTATAAAGCTGTGTATAAATACTCTTAAGTATCAAAAAATTAATGTTTTTCAAGTTATTCCCACTACCAACCTTTAAAATAGAGATACCCAACAAAACACAAAAATTCAGCACAAAACATTGAAATTTAATTTAAAACAAATGTTTCTAGTAGTATTAAACAACCATTGTCAGGTTAAATAGAACTTTGAAAGTTTGGCTTTCAACTTTCAAATGTTCTATTTAACCTGACAACAGTTTTTTAATACTACTGAAAACATTTGTTTTAAATTAAGTTTCCACATTTTGTGTTGAATTTTTATGTTTTGTTGGGTATATTTGCTATCCAATATCTTGAAATTGTAAAATTGACTTAGAATAGAGTTTCATGCAATATGTCATTTTATCATACAGTTCACAAATTAGTCCAATAACACACATTAAGTAATGTATGTATGTTGGTGTATAAAAAGAGGTTATAGACTAATCTAAACTAGAGGAATCCTCTCTGCTCTAGTTTGAGGATGACAAAAGTTTGCAACATGGCTTTAGAAATCATGTTCAATAGCTTCTTGATGCTGCTGCTGTGATAGTAGACTGATAATGATGAAAATTGTAACTGTTTTTGAAATTCTGTCTGTAGTTTTCCTGTGTTGAGATAAACATGCCTATAAAATTTTATCACTATCTTTTAGTTTTGCTTCCAGAGTGGTCTAAAGTGGTAAACTTTAATTAAAGATGCCCTATATGCATTTATGGTAAATATTTCATATATTCATGTTATGATCCTAATACTAAAGATCCTAATACTAAAAATACTAACTTTAATACTAATACTCAAAAGCTATTAAATGCATCAAAATTAAATTTATAGGGTAATGTATTTCAATATGTGTAACATTTGAATTTCTTTTGCTCCAATTTATTTAATTTTCCAATGAAAGTTAAACAACCATCTACTTGAGTTAACATTAAATATTTTTAAAAAGAATTTTATTAGGTCACTCTATTTCTTTTCTTGAATCCTTTAATTCTATAAAGAATTAAAATATGTAAAATGAAATTACCTAAATGTTGTTTTATTTCATTCAAAATCAATAAAGAATAAATTAAATTAAAAAATGAATAAATTTTCAAATTTATAAATGTGCAAAAACCAATTTTAATATTGTTCATATTTTAAAAGTAATACATAGATATTATTATTATTTTCTCTCTGCTGGATTTGATTCAGATTCCTACTGATTAAAATTAATTATTTAAACACAATATGTAGTGAAATACATTATGAAAATATCAATGACAATAATGAAAATTTTGATGTAGAACAAGGCTTCTTAAAATATGGGTAGGTAACAAAATTTAGGAGTTTCAAAATCTTTGGCAACTGTTTGCAAATAATGTCATAAACTTTAACCTCAAATGTTCCTCTGTCAGATTCTTCAATACTGATTAGTAAAAATAATTACAAAAGCCATTTTGATTTAAAGTATTTAATTAAAATTAAAAATCACATTATGGATACATAACAGAGAAATGAAACATTCATACAGTAGAACCTCGAAAACGCGGCCTAATGTGGACCGAAGGGTGGCCGAGTTTGTGAAAATGCCGGGTTATCGGGAATGGGGTTAAAAAAAATAAGTACGAGTGTTTCCTCAGAAAATACTGTACTGTACTTGTATGTATTGTTTACTTGAGTATATAACAGAGAATAAACTGCCCAAATACCCTTAAACAAAGGGAAAGTACGTACTTTATGAAGGCATAGAGCCTTTACTACATGAAAATGAAAATTAATGAATACACTGTGTACAGTAATTTATCTGATAAGACAGACCTCAGAAAAATACTTTATGAGAGCTTTTATACTTTTATAAAGCTGTCTATAATAAAAATTAATTAACTAAGGATTTTTTTGCCCTGCCAGGGTGTGGCCGAGTTATCCGGAGTGCCGGGTTATCGAGAGCCGAGTTTTCGAGGTTCTACTGTACTTCTTTTCTCATTGTAATCTGCTACTATTTTTCAATTAAATCTTATAATATATCATCTTATATATATCAGAATTATCATATTTTCAAATAGTATGTGAACTACATACCTAATATGAGTTGACTTTTTAATCCGTGAAAGAGGTTCAACTGTAGGCATTCCATATAGTGCATGTTTAGGATTTGTTATTAAAATGACAGGCCAATCATTTAAGTTTTGATCTATAAAGGTAAATATTCCATGATCTACTGCTGCCAAACGATACCTAATAAAATTAAAGCACATTAACTACTATGAAACATTATTTTAAAAATTTAATAAACTTTCACACAGTGCCAATAATATCATGTTACTGACATTTGGCTTCATTATTGAATATATATTTCAATTTAATACTGTATTATTGTTATTTTCCTTCTATTATTGTGTAAACAAATAATTATAAAATTGAATTTTCTGTGATCCTATTTCTAATGGATTATGTATTAAATTTGATTACTTACTATCACAAAAGTAAATATAAAATCTAAAATTAATTTCAAATATAAAAGAAAAATGAATCTAACCTTCTATTATCCTTCCAATCACCAAGTTCAAGTTCTAAAGAACCTGTTGATTGAAGTGTATACATAATGGGAACCATACCACCCAGAGTATGAAGATGACCACATAAATATGGTCCCGAATCTCTAAAATAAAATTAAAGAATATTTAGTGAAGAAATCTTAAATGTTAAATCATGTTTATATATATATACTAGCTGTTACCGATGGCTTCACCTGTGTGGATTTTGCAATTTGATAAAAATAACCCTCCCTTAAAAAATCATCCCAATGACTCATCATGTAAGTCACTATTTCTTTGGCCATCACTTGAGTGTCATATAAAACAAAGGATATTGCTCTTTCCTGTCATGTATAATTGGAACAATGGTGTGGGGCATCATAACATAATTTATATTCAGTATTTCAACAACCATAGTAATTATTTAATTTATAACAACATTACATAACACACACTTCTTATTGCTGAGTATCATTTCATTGCTTCAAAGGAATGTTTTCAATCTAATCAATTTTCCAGAACGTTTACAATCGTTCAACAATTGCATATTGGTTCTATAATAGAACCAATATGCAATAACAAATTTGAATTTAAAATAGTTTGAACATTTGGTTAAAAAATCATAAAACGTGAATATTGTACGTTTGGAAATTAAGTTATTACCATCAGAAAGAAAAAATTGCATCTAAAATAGTACAGTAGAAGCCGTTCTTCAAATTAACCCTTAATTTTCTCCCTCTCCCCCCTCTGGGAAATTTCAATATAAAAACATGCGCATATTCGAATGCAACATACATTGCGTCAAAATTTTAAAGCAATCGGTGAAGAACTTTCAGAAATTTAAGATTTTGAACAAACGAACATTTACATTTTTATTTATATTAGCAAACAAACCTCATTAATTCTCTTGCTCCTGGATAAGGTGCAGCTATTGTTGATGTAGGATAATGTCCAAACCAAATAGTCATATTGCTATTTCTGCTTTGTTCCTCCATTTTTTGTAATTTTCTGTACTCATCCTAAAAATAATAATACATTTCATATTAAGAATGATTTATGTAGCAGATGAAGACATTTCTGTAATATAACTTTTAAATTGATATATTGTTATCAATTAGTTACATCAAATATTTATGTGATTTCTAAGTATTTTGAAATGTAAGTTTATGAAATTTTGTATTATTTTATGATTTCAGTGTTAATAATAAATGTTCTTAAAATATTTTACATGCTCTATTTTTTAGTATAAAAAATTTTTCATGTATTACTGCCCAAGACTTCTGTATTAATGAAATTCTGAAAGTGTGATGTATGTAAAAATGTCATCTGTACAATACTTGTGTTGCAAATATCAGTCAAAAATGTTTAAATAACTTCATTCAGTAAGTGTGTATTCATTTATTTACTATTCAAGTATAGTTTATAACTTATTGAAAAATGTATTTTACATTTATTTAAAAATCTGATGAGGGTAAAATGCCAAAACATGTCATGAAATTAAATGATTATAATGAAATTGTGAGTCTTCATTATAATCATTTCAGTTGCCACAATAAAATTATAAGAAACAAAAAGTCTGGATATTCTTTACAATTAATTAATTAAATTCATCAACCATTTAAAAGAGCCATTCTATTTACACATTAATTCTATCTTATGAAAATGTAGAATGCCTAAATAATATCTATTATTAGTGTCATTGAAATGACATTAGAATTGGAAGATGAATGAATAATAAAGCTAATAGCAAATTTCTAGTAGTCTGCAAATTACAATGGAATTTTGTCATAAGTCAAACATAATAATTAATTCAGTTCCAAACAACACACACACAAGCTTATACATTATAATCAATTATTATGTGTATGTGCCATAATACAATAGAGCAGTGGTGTTTAAGTGTATTGAACTTGAAAGTAATATTTACTGTTTAATTAATTAGTATTTTACTATCAAAAATTCACAGAAATTCAGGTAGTCAACTATCTTCAAAAAAACCAAAAATCATATACTGAGGGAGTATTGCAATCTTCATTTGGAATTAATTTTATTTTTATTTTCTGTTTATTTCATTTATTATTAATTCTGTTAAACCTTATTAAAAAATTAAAGTTAAAAAAGTTATCTAGACCAAGCATCTCTGCAGAAAGTTAGTTCTATTTTTGGTTTTTCAAAGTAATGTGAATTTGAGAGACAGTGAAACATGATTACATTATTACAGCATTTTTTGTTTGTCCTTTATAATATTACATTTGATATTTAATAATTGTTCTGTGCCATTAGCAAGTGCAATCAATTGTTAAAAACATGATTTCTCTTTTTATTGCACTGATTTTGGCCATAAGTATGGGTAGTTGTAAGTAAAGGACTGAACATATTTGCCAGTTATATATCATCATATGCTTTTTATGTATGATGAATTATAATTCCTAATGTTTTGTGCATATTTTCAAAACTCAAATATTAATAGATATTGAACAGTTTTCCAATACAGTGGTATGTTCACATTTCCTTGTAAGTGATCAGCATTTTGTTTTGTTATGTCTGCCATACTGAGCTATAGACATCACATCCATTCTACATTTTTAAGTTAGCATTCTATAATTAAACAACATTAAAATTTATAACTATTTATTTTCAAAAAAGTATCAGTTTTGTTAGGTTAGTAATACATATTAGTGCAACAAAGAAACTGAAATAAGCATTATTAAATCCTATGTACCTGTATGGATTATATGAGCATTATCTGTAGCAATTTAGACTACAGATAATTCATTTTAATAAATATTAATTTTCTTAAGTTAACAACAGTTGTTTACAATAAACAACTCTTGTTAAAAAAGTTAATAACAAAAATTAATTTTCCCCCTCTTTTTTATCATTCTACTTCTAAAATTAAAACATTATTTAGAGAAATAATTCATTAATAATATTAACTGTAATTATTAATAATTAGATAAATGACAAATAAAGACATTTACACCAATATTTACATCAGTTAAAGGTCATTTCTTTCTATATAATAAAAAATTAGAAAATATTTGATCATATATCCCCTTATCTCATTTACATGGGATTAAATTATCTTCCAAGCCAAAAGAATAAAAATATTTTTATTAAAACAAACTAAATCTTACAAAAAAAAATAAAATTTAATATGTCATACAGTAGACTCTCCCACATCTGGCCATTCCATAACCAGAGTGATCAAAGACAACCAAAAATTTTTTAAAAATTGTACACTACTCTGGGTCTTACCTTTCCATATAGCAGTGTGTACAATTTTTAATTTTTTTTAATTAAGGCTGCCTTGAAGTTTGTAGAACAATGCATCAACTACTGCTGACATGATAACAATAAGGCATTGGTGTGATGTTGCAGCTCGTAAGTGAATTGAGACGAACAAAACAACAACTTTAACATAATATTTTGAAAATTAATTGTAATTGTCAAAAACAAGTGTCAAAGTCAAAATAACCATTTTTTTTAATACATACAGTAGAAATATGTTACAATCTTATTTAAAAGTTCTCAAACTCATTTATTTGGATTTTCCTAATATACAGATTACATAATTTGGATATTGGAGAGTCTACTATTTAAAGATTAGAAATAATTTTTATTAATTTATGATATCACTTGAAAATTATATTAAATTTAAAATTTTAATATAAAATACTTTAAATTGACATAAAGATAACATTTTACCTGATTTATAATTCCCAAAAAGTTAAATGGACGTTTTGGACCAGGTTCAAGACATGCATTTATTCCAATAAATGTGTATGTATCAGAACCATGATGAAATGTATAATTATAGGAACGATTATGCTTGTGTCCCTGAATGGAATATCTTCTGTTAAAGGGAAAAAAACCTAAGATTATAAAATATGTAAAAAATATATATATTTTATATATATATATATAACACAACAAAATATATGAAATCTAAACCACAAGAAATAATCAGAATATATTTCTTGTTTAGTAAAATTTACTAATTCTGAGACTTAACTTAAAACATAAAATTTATATTAAAATTTACATGTATTTTACAAGAAATGTACAGTTGACCCTCTATAACACTGTTGATAATTCCATTTTATATGAATTCCGTATTGTACGAGTCACTTAGTTTTTACAAATACATGTGCCGGGCTGTGAATGGCTCATGTATTTGTAAAATCTAAGTGACTCGTACAACATGGAATTCGTATAAAACGGAATTATCAACAGTGTGGGGGGTCAACTGAGATACAATAAAAATTTAGTAAATATCCAAAACTTCTAAGAAAGTTCTGGGGAAGATTTGTAATTTATATTACATACATTATAATGAATTATTAACTGTAACAAATTGTTTCATTGTATTTAATTCTTATATTAACTTATCACTGCCAATCATTTAAAAATACAAGTATTTTGTAAGTTTTAATTATATCTTATGACAATAAACCAAACAAACTAAATCATTACTGAAATTAATATAAAAAAATTTTATTACAAATTATTAATTAATAATATTAATGGCTATAGTCATTTCCTTAACTATGATTTTTTTTAGTATCAGATGTCAAAATTATACATGTCAAAGAAAAGTTTCAACTTGAGGTAATTAAATTACAGAATATCATCAAATTAAAATTGATAAATGAATATAAATGTATACAGATTAATTTTAAATATTTATAAATATCTTATCATTTAAATCAGTAAATTATTTGAAATCAATTAATAAAGTTAATTTTTTTTGTTTAGGTAGAATAAAATAATATTTTTTTTAGATTTCAATTCCTTCAATATTATATAAATTTGATAAATGCAATACATTCTGGAAATAACATTATGTATACTTTAAATACATAAACTTGAATTATATAATTTGATTCAAAATTCTGTAAATTTAATTATTTAATGTCTATAATAATTTCCCTAAATCAACATTAGTCTAAATTCATTTTATATTTGTCATAGTAATTAACAAAAACTTTGTTTAAAAACATAATCTAAAAATTCAAAATTAAACTTATATATATCATACAGAATATAAAAAAAGCTATACAATAATATTTATCAAGATTGTAAGAACCAATAAATATTTTAAAAAGTATGTTGTGAATAACCGACAAGATTATATTTTATTCTAACAAATTATAATATGATAAGTTAAAAATTGAATAAGAAATGAAAGAAACAAATGACTTGTAAAAGATGTCTAAATATTAATTAATTAATTTAAAATGTTATAAAGAAAATACTTATTTGATGAATAAGGGATGGGATTTATGAAAAAAATGATTTCAAACTATTAAATAATGAAAAAACTTGTGATACCTCACAATATCTTATCAATGCAAAAAGTTTAAAAGATTATTGAACTTGTCATTGTTAGTGAATGTCCTACGTGGCAGTGTCCAGCAACCACAGGCATGAACATGCTACCAAGTGGAGCAAAGATAAACAAGTGATTGTGCTTGTCTTGAGTGACTGTATTTAGTGTGCAGTGACCACCAGATAATGCTTTACATGCATCTGCAGGAAGCAGCTACCAAACAAGTTTGATTGCTACTTCTATTGCATGTGCTTCCAAAGAAGAAAAGATGGATTATCTTTTATTTCATGATACAAATGATGAAATTCACCAAATTCACGTTATTTCTTATAAATATTGTTTGTCTTTTGCTTACAAGAAGCTTCGGTAATACAATATAGAAATCTATTTTCTATAGCAAGCATTCAACAAAGTCATCTCATCACCATTTTGTAAACAGTACATGTTCATTTTGGATAGAGATAGGTCACAAACTAGAAGCACATACAAAGATTCTTTCCACCCACAGTTGCTGGACACTGCTACATAGGAAGTAGCCTTACTAATAATAAAATCTTCAGTTTAAGCATAACTTTAAGTATCAAAAGATGCAATGAAAGGTTTCTCGATCTTTACAATTGCCATAAGCATAGATATCAAAATCAAGACATAAAGACATTCTTCCTTTTATTTTATTTGCTTTTTTTAGCTGAAAGAACTGTTTACTAAGATCTTACTTTGAATATTGCTACAATGTAGACAAAACATCATATTTGAAGTCTTTAATCATTTAAGAAATCCAATTTGCAGAAAACAATTAAATCTTTGGCAAAATCACTAGCTGCTTTGACATAATAATGCACAGTTGTTTAACATTCTTTCAGTAGATGTATTTATGAGAAAATTTTTTCACTCAGAACAATATTCTTATTCACTTAATCTGACTTGCAACTGTTTTTCCTTTCCAACATCTACATTTTTTGAATAATTGAAAATATTCAAAAGAACAGCAAAGAACTTCACAAGCATTTTTGACAACTTAAATTTTGTGACAATGTATAATTATACATTTTAAGGGGTAATACCTTATTTTATAAAAATGTTTATTAAACAACTATTTTTCTGTAAAGCTAATACAATTTTATTTTATGAACCTGTGAGTTGTTAAGTCATATCTGTAGTCAAGAAGGTTCAATAAACCTAATTTCTGTTTGTTTTATAGAATTGAACATAAACTTTTATGTTTTATTTTTATTTAATTTATGTTTAATTAAAGCTTTTTATTTGTTTAAAGAAAAAAACTTAATATTCCTAATTTACTAATGCTAAAGCTGTATCTTAATTTATGACTTAATGTAAATTAATAAAATTAGTGTGTTAAATAATATATGGATTTATTTGAATAAAATATACATTTATAAATAAACAAAATAAAATAATGATACATTCTATAAGTTTTTATTAAAAAAATACCTGAAACTTAAAAATATTTGTACATTATAATGTATGTACTGTACATATGTATATAAGCATTTTATGCATGTATTTGTATGCATGAGCATTCTTATATTAATTTGTTGATATTTCTTTTAATAAATTTTAATCCTAAACCAGTGAATGAAAACAATAAGATTAACTGATTACCTGAATAAATTATCTTCTTTATCTAATGACACAGTATTAAAATTATCTGTGGATAAATTAAAATATAATTATTTCATAGTATAAAACATGATCAATTATATGATTACAAATAAAATTTAATAAACTTAATAATAACGCAAACATTTATAGATACAATATTGTTCAAATACTTCATTTTTATGAATTAGCATGTTTATTTCAGAGCAGCATATTTATAATGCAGATGTGTTCAGTGACATATAGATTTAAGAATTACAGTTAAGATATAAATTTCTTCAAATATCAATATATTCAGATCAACAGCAAGAAAAAGTGAAGGGGAGAAAATCATAATGCTTTTAAAGCAATTAACTAAGATATCAAAATGAAAAAATGTGTTGTGACTGAATATAAAAACAAATCTCTTGATATTATATGTTCTAAATCAATCATTAATTAAAATAATTAGTGATTCAGAGTCTCAAGTAGAAAACAATGAGCAGAATTTTATTTTATTTTAAATGATGGATAAAGATAGTCTATCAATCTTTTCAACAAAAATTCTTCTGTAACGACAATGACTTTTTTTAAGATTTACAAAATAACATTTCCTGGTAGTCTCTAATTCTGTCATTTCAAAAATATTCAATTGCTAGCATACATAAATAAATTAGCAAAACTAATTTACTTCTATCATCCAAAGAACTTTGAAAAGTAAAATAGCATTTTGTTTTTCTTCACTTATTATATCTCAACATATTAAATTCAACTGGAAAATTTGATACATGAATTTTACATTAAATTTACTAAAAAGACTACAGAAAATAATCAAGAGCATAAAATAATTTTTTTGAAATATTCCTCAGCTATTCATAGATGTATAACCTTATATGATTCAAAAGATTTAAAGACAAAATAATCCTTGTATTTTGTGATATCATTTAACAAAAGGTTCTCAAATAACTAGTATATTATAATAGTATACTTGTGTCCACTTTGGACATTCTTATAAACTAGGACTTGTTATACTGAGAAGAGAGAAACATACCATTTCCAATTAAAATATATTTAACAAGATTACATTACAATAAATATGTTTTAGTTGGAAATGATGTGTTTCTCTTCCCTCAGTATAACAAATCCTAGTTTATAAGAATGTCCAAAGTGGACACAAGACACAAGTATAATATAAGTAATTAAAAAGACAAGAAGCATGTATCAACATGGTATATTATTGTTTGAAAAACATAAGTGGAAAAAATTATTAAATGAATTTTGTTACTAAACTCTAAGAAGTTGTTTGAGTGATGAAAATTATTACGTTTTTAATCAAATTATTTATATGATACTAACGATCAAGATGAGACTGAATGAATCTGAGTTTATGATAACTTGTTGATTAACAAGTTATAAGAAACTTAAAGATGTCACTCAGAATCCATAATTCTATCAGATATACAATCAAAGATAATTAGAATATAATCTTATTTTCTGCTTTGTTTTGAAAAATAATCCCTTAAATAAATTCCATGTAAAAATATTTATATTTGAATAAATTGAATATATTTGACATCACACATTTAAAAAATCAATTTTCAGAAGACTTAGCAACAAACAAATTCAACTTCTATAGATAACCGATCTTTTTATAATTATTCTGCTAGATACAGAAATGAATATAAAATTTGATACACCAATTATGTCATTTCAAAATGATACAAAGTAATTCTTCTTTAATTTAAAATATCATGGTTGATATTTAATGCCACAAAATTAACTTAATAAAAATTAAAAACAGATTGTATCAGCTTTTTATATTTTTCATTATACATTTAATTTCTTATATATTTATTTTAAAGAAGGAAATTGTATATAGAAGAATAAAGTAATATATAAAAAAAGAAAAGCTTATAATGTTTGTAAATGTGTTTCTTTTTTTTTTTTTTTATAAACTTATACTTCTAAAATTTTAATTTGTTATGATATAATGTATAAGTATATATAAACAAAACATATCCCTGTGTTAATCTTATCATTTTCTGTTTATAATAAAAATTTTGCATAAACTTAAATAATTGAAGCTAGCTAGCTTATAGAACATATTGAAGACTTCTTTTATCAGTTGTATGATCTTTCCTTTCTAAATTTTATACCATATACTACTATTAGCTACTTTAATTATTATAAACAATTAATATACTGTATGTTTTTTTCTGTCAGATAATAATAGATTATTTTTATGTTTTACAATACACATTTATCTAAAATATTGCAATTACTCAAAAATTTTATAATAATTTTTTAAAAATAATAAAGATTTTTACTACAATAAGTGATATTTACAGAAAGTAGAATAAAAGTTGAGAGTAAAATTTATAAAAGAAAAAAAAAATCAAAATTACTAAGAAAACAAAAACATTAAAATCAAAAATCAATTTAGCATTGTAACAGTATGGTTTCATCTGACTAAGTTTACCACAGTTATTTAACATTTTTTTTCTGTATTATAATGATCTTTAAAGATTTATTTTTAAAAAATTTAATATAAAAGCTGTAGATAAAAACTTTGTAGTTAATGAAAAAAATGAAGTAAAATAAACCATACTAATACATCTATTTAGATTAAAAATTTTGCCAAATTTATTAAAAGTGCAGAAAATAATAGAAATTTATTAGTTTATAAGAAATATGAAAAACATAGACAAAATAATTCATACTACACTATAGCATTTACAGCACACTACTATGTTTTTTATGGTATTTTTTACAGTAACAAAATATAAAATATTAAACTAAATACTTAGAAATACAAAATATCTACCTATATTTTAAATATACTGTTTATTTCTAATGCTTAGTTCAAGAAGCCAGAATAAAAAGAGTAGTGAGACATTTCTGTTCTGAAATGTTTTCATTCTCTTTTTATTTTGGTTTCCTGAACTAAGCATTAGAAATAAACAATTTATTCGAGTAAATATGGTGCCAAGTGTTTGTAAAGATATTAATTTATCTATATGTTATTGATATGAAATATTTTATTACTATTAAATTAATTCTGATTAAATATAATTAAAATGATATTCCATGTAATATAGAAGAAATAAAATAATCAATTTTTATTTTTATTTTCACTATAATATAAATTTCTGACTTATTTATAATATCGTTTTAATGTAAATAAATTTATTTAAATTTAAAAACTGGATCTAAGTAATTATATTTAAGAATTTAATCTCTAAATTAAATTTTGATTACCATGGTTTCCCCGAATATCTAACCACACAGTTTCCTTGGCAACACCACTTTCAAACAAAATCTTTTGATAGGTTTTCCATTCTTCTTCAAATTGTCGTGAACCAAGATGGTCAGGTGTTGTTGCATCAACGAGATCACCTAAAAATTAAATAATCAAGTTTAAATATGTAAAATTCAAATTAACACTTTATGTAATAGAGTACTTTTCTACAGTATTTTGAAAGTCAAAATAAATTCATATTATTCTCATTTTAAAAATAAAAAATTAAGTCTACATTCAAGTTAAATATTAAATTATTCCTATTAAAAGAAAAGAAAATATCTAAAAATTAATGAATCTGGTAAAGATGAGCAATTTATTGTTTACCATTAAATAAAATATCTAAAAAATAGAATAGAATATTTTTTTTAATTATTTATATATTTTAAGCTCTGTCAGTATTGTGTTTTGATGTTAAATTATATTTGTAAAACAAGCAAAGTCCAAATTCTAACATTACTTTAATATCTTACTTAATAACTTTATATAACAAATAATATATTGCAGTTCCTATTTCATTTTTAACTTAATATTTATTAACAAGAATCATTGAAAAACTCTTACATTTAATAATAATTATGAGAATATTAAATAAATATTTTTAATGTAAGAAGAGAAACTAAAAATTGTTTTAAAAATTTAAATGTTTTGTTTTTATAAATTGAAACTTAAAAATGTTCATTCATCATATTCAAGAGTCTGATTTTTTTAAAATGGTTTCTTAGTAAGAAATGTAGTAGAAAATTTCAAATACATTAGTAATCTGCAAATATTATATGCATGTTTATTCAATTGAATATAATTAGGAGTGGAGTACTGAAAATCGAAATAATTCATATTCATAATTTCTTCATTAGATTACATACAAATTCAATTATTCTTTTCTTTTTTCTTCAATTTAATTCAGGTATTTCTAAATTTTAAAAAAATTATTCTACATTGCATAAAGAAATTGGTTTACTTGCTATAATAATAACAAATTATAGATATTTTCCTTAAAAAATTATGAAATTTATTAATTTAAACAGTGAATTTATTTGAAACCATAACAAAATAGGAAGATATTTTGTTTAGTAATTTTAGTTAATAATGCTTAATGTATCTATAGAAAAATATTTATTTAATTTGGCAAGTATAAAAGATAACTAGCCAAATATAAACAGAAATTTGAAGTTAAATATTCAAAAATCCTCAAAAAACTTTCAAAAAAGTTTATTAAATAATATTTTTAACATTTAACTAACTAATTTTTCTTTTAAGTATTAAATTATTAATAAATGATTTTTTAAAATTCTTTTTTATCTTTCTTTAATTAAGAAAAAATAACAAATCAAAAGCATTGTATTTATATTAATGTTTATGAGGTCCAATAGAACATTTCATGACTCCACAATTTTGTAAAGTTCAAACTCTTGGTTTGAATATATGTTCTTAAGAAACCTATGATAGAAATAGACTTATGTTAAAAGAAAAATGGGTATTTTTATAATCTTTTTTTTGTTTTTAATATATAGCAATTTATAAATAACATTTGTATAATGAGAAAATTGTATACTGTGCATATAATAAAAAATGATGTATATAAAGTATATGTAAAGTGATATATATGGTATATAATATTGTATATACAGTACATGCAGAGCTGTAGCAATTCACTGGCAATGGGGCAAGTGCTAAGGGTGCAAGGCATGATGTTCGTGAGGTGTGAGGGGTGCTTAGCACTCCTCATGCCTCACAATGCCTCAGTTCTTTGCTACGCCTCATAAACATATGAATCATAGACTAAAAGACTAATGCATCACCAAGGGTGCCACACATATTGCTATGGCTCTGAGTATAAAATAAAAGTTACCTGTTGCAAGAACAACTGATGGTTGAATTACAGGTATTACTTCTTTACAAAATCTTTTTAAATCAGGTCCTCTGGTGAAATCTCTAAACAAACTAAGATGGATATCTGAGACCTAAAATAAAATACAATTTATATAAATTACAAAATATATATATATTTAAAATATTTATATCAATAATATATTATAAATATATTTAATGCAACTGTCATCCTTCAAATGGAGATATTAAAGACTTTCACTTATTAAACTTACAAGATTTTACTGTGTAAGATTATAAATTCAAGTGTACGTCATCTATAGCCTAATCTATTGTTCATCAGTTTTATTAATCTATAGTCTATAGAATATATAAAGTATAATCTGATATTAATATATTTTTAGATTCAAATTAATTCAGTCATCCTATGAAAATAAATATCAATTTACTTTAAAAACAGTCATATGGCATACATTGTCTACTTGTTCGAATATTACATAAATGTATTTATTATCCAAAGAAATAGCCAATATTTGTATAAACTATATTTTGTTTTACAATTTAAAACAAGTTCATAGTGCATAACAGAACATGCTAAATGGAAAATAAAACTTATACGTCAGTCACTGAATGTGTAACAAGGTGGAGTTTGTCTGAAATTTGGCTGTGTATTGTCCGGAAAGCAATATATTTTTCTAAAATTTAAAAACTGCAAATTGCTGAACTGATAGGCCATCAAGGAATTAGTTCATTTGTCCAATATGATAGACGGTTAGTCCATAATTGCTATAAAGTTCTTTCAAATTCAACTGTTAATATATTTTTAAATTATCATTTTTCAATATTAACCAATTATTCTTTCTTCAGAAATTTTATATGTACCTTTTTTAGTTGATGTATAGGTCTTAAAAAAAATACACTTTTTAATCAAACATATACTAGAAGCAACTGCCATTCATTTCTTTGTGATGTTTAATAAATAATAATCATTTTTGTATAATAGACAGCATTTTCTATAGATTTGTAGATAATTTTTGCCATTGTGCTTTGAAATATTTACATAAAGTCACAGTATTGTTTATTTTACAGCAAATTTTATTACTGAAAATAAAGTAAAGCTGAAAGTCAAAACAAAAACAACTGTGCTTAACTTTTCTGTCAAATTAAACATAAACTAACTAAAAATTATGTGTAACTTGCTAGTATTAAATAGGGAAAAACATGTTTGAAAAATTAATTCAGAGAAGCATTTTAAAATGAATTATAGATGATTCCACTAATTTCGAATGTAGAATGTAGAATGTTTATAAACATTATGCATTATAAAGTGAAAGATTAAGTTAAAAAATAATGTAATTTCAAATCTCATACTGTAGTAAAATTTAATTATTACACTAAATATAATTTTTAACAATTTTAAATTCACACTTCATTTTTATTAGGTAGCCAAATGTTTTATTTGTAAAAATGTTTTTAGACTTTTCAAGCCAGCTTGTCACAAAATTGTTGTAATAGAACATTGAATTTACATATAAAACCAAATCTGATATAAGTTAATAATCAATACCACAAGATTGTTATTGAGCTAATGGCTGATTAATTATTTAAGGTACAAGTAATTTAAACTAGAGATAGGAAATTAAGCCACCATCTCATATTAATTAGTATCTTAATAATTAATTAGCCATATTGTAGCTGTAAGAATTCAACTGCATCAATTAATTATTAACATTAATTTATAAATATATTCACTTTTAATGTAGTTAATGTTTATTTTAATATATAAAAACAATATCTTAATAGACATTTTCTTAAATAGTCTTGGGTTAATTGATTTACATAATTTTTCAGAAATGTGAATTGTTAACAAGAGGTTGACATTTATCATTAAATAAATAATCAATTATATTGCAATATGGTTTGTATAATCTTATCAACTAACATATAAATCATTGTATAACTTTAATTCATTAAAATCAAACACATTCAAAATATTTGCAAGTTCTACTAGCCAAACACATATAACATTAGTAATTATCAAAGTTAAAAAAGAGAAGTGGAGCTGGTGATGAATTTAAGCCATCAACTTTTGGGAATGCAGCCAGCCTAACTCTGCCAAGTGAGCAAGTCTGATCTAATAGTTAGTGATAATTCTGATAACTTTAAATATGTAACGTTAAGAGCATATAACGTCAATGTCATCTAAATAATTTTTAAACCTCTTAATCAAGATATAAACTTAAATAATGAATATATTTATAATATAAAAACACTAATAAATATTGTTTTTCACATATATTTTTCCATTAATTCTTTCAATTCACAAAGATTAAAAGGATGAATAACCTCCGAATAAACCTATCATTGTAAAAGTGTGAAAGGTATTGATTTGAAGTTTTGTTCTAGCTTTGTTTTTTTATATGTTAAAAAATACTTAAATATAATTTAACTTAACATTTGTGCAATAAAATATCACCTTACTATGTTAAATAATAATTCAAAAAACTGAATGGACTAAATAAAAATGAAGTAAATTGATAATGAAATGATGATAAAAGAAGAGGCATATTAAAACATGGGTAAGTTTCAAACAAATTATTTATCTGCAAATGTTTGAATGCTAATTTTGTGTTTGTAAAGATGACTTGAATATTTTGTTTGTAATAAAAACAGTAATGATTAGGTTAGAAAAGAATATAGAACCACATGCTTTACTTATTTCATAACATGTATAATTTTATGTAATTGTATGTATATTTTTATTATAACTTAATTCTAATTACTTTAAACTTTAAATCTCTGAACTATTTCATTACTTTTATTATTTTACAAATCCCCTTGTGTTCAGAATACCATATAATTCTGTTTTAATTTTACTCTAATAACCACAAACTATTTAACCTTATTTATATACCCTACTTATTATACTTCCTTGTAAAATTTAAATATTTTACTTTTTCAAAGCTAGCATCTTTCATTCAATTTATAGCCTACTAACTTATATGTATTTTACATTTATTCATTATATTTACAATGAAGATTCAATAGAATTTCCATTTTTGTCATTTTATTGTTTAAATTGATATTGAATGAATTTATGACAAGACAGCACTATCACAGATAATTCATATATTGAAACATACTTCTGACAATTTGAATTTTGTAAATATTTAAATAGTAATAAAATATTAACATTTAATTTCACTTTGGCATAATATATGCTTTATAATTAATACCAATTACTATAAATCAAAACAGTTATATTGGATAATTATGCTGTTTGTTAACAGTCCTATTACAAGTTTCTTTAAATGTGTATTATTGCACTGACATAAATTGGCATAATTTATCTCCAATGATGTCAAATTTTATGGGTATCACCTGAATAGTCAAGGAAGGTTAGGAAGATGCTTCTAAAAAATACAGATAATAATAATAATAATAATAATAATAATAATTTTAATACAAAATTAAAAACTAATAGAAAAAAATTTAATTTAATTTATTTAAATATAATACTGATATGAAGTTTTTGTTGTCTTAAAATATTTTTTCACAGATGGCTAGATGCCCAAGGCAGCTAAGGCATTAGCCTACCATGCTGGAGGACCCAGAATTGAATCCAGGCGAATAAGTCAACAGGAATTTCCTATGTTCTGTATATATTGGTCCCTATTCATCATCATCTGGCTGCCCCTATTTTGGGCCTGCCAAACTCACAATGGATATAGAAAAAGAAAAGATTGTCTTGGTGTCCACAGGATGAAAAGAGAAGAAAATATATATTTCTTCATCCTAAAAAAACATTTCTGTTAATAAAATATAAGAATATATATGATTTTTATGATTTATTTGTTTGTCCTTACAGAACTTACTTTCTAGATAAGCTATTGATGAGTGTAATTTATAAATAACAAGCGATTATTTATTGTGACATTGTCACAATGCTAGGCTGCAATTTTTAATGTATTTGATTTAAAATTTGTGCTCTTCACCTCAAATTAGTAGTGGCTTGCCCCTGTACAACATACTTTTCCTTTAACAATAGAATCATGCCAGTCATCTATCTAACACCTCACAAGAGAAAATTTCCATATTGAAATAAAATGACTTTTGGTTTGCATTGGAAGTTTGTATATAGTTAATCGGGGCCTCCTGCCCTTAAGGTTTCCATATCTGATCTTGTCTTTTGTCTATCTAACTTTGTTCTCAAGATTAAGGAAAGACAATGGACAGACAAAAGTACAAATTTATAAATTGCAACCAAATATTTGGAAGCCAGATATGTTAAAAAATTTGTAATTTTCTGCTTTCAAAATGGCAACAAAAGAAAATGCTTTATGCTTATGAGTTTTACACATTAAATAAAACATTAAGAAAAAAGTTTACTGTAAACCATTCTGCAAAATGAGGAGTTTCAAAATAGATTATATAGTGCCTTCTCCAATGTTTTAAGAGTGCATTATCACCAGAGAAAAATGAAAATTCTAATGAAAGCCAGGTTGGAAGGCTTGAAGAGGACTATTGAAGCCAGCAATAAGATTTCAATCCAATCTAAAATTTGCACTGCAATCTAAAGTCAAATCAACTTTGTTCAATAATAGAGACTTATAGAATTACAAAAATAAAAGATAATGTACAGCATTTCATTACTTTTCAAATGACTATTTAGTTCATAGATTTTCCTTTTTTTCAAGGTAAAAACTATAGTACATAAACTTATGTGGATTTTTTGTGGACACCTATTACATTCTTTGTATTATTGTAAAATGACATGTTATATGATTTATTTTTTTAATTCAAAAATTATATTTGCCATTGAATATTGTATTAATAGCATATCTGTGAATAAATGTTATAACTTTGTTATATGTCTCACATACAAAATTTTCTATGTATCATTTATAATTTAAAAAGCATAAAGCAATTGTTTGAATAAAGCATTTGTTAAATAATGATAAATGAGTTTAATATATTAATCAGCTGTTATTGTCATACAACAGATATTAATGCTTATTTACTGTCAAATGTTCATCTTAATTCATATTTGAACTGACATACGTACCAAGTAATGTCATCTGTCTTATTTCAAATTACAGGTAACCCCCGTACAACACGGGAGTTACGTTCCAAA